TATGATGTCCATTTTATCAATTTTTTTCTTTTATAGATTATGCTTTTGGTATTGTATCTAAGAACCGTTTGCCTAACAAAAGGTCACAAAAATTTTCTTCTGTTTTCTTCTCGAAGTTTTATAGTTTTAGCATTTTTAGTTAATTTTTGTATATAGTTTCAAGGAGGATATAAACTCATCTTTTTGCTTGTGGATGTCTAGTTGTTCCAGCAATTTTCAATCATTAGTTGAAGAAAACTAACCTTGACCCTGTTAGGCTTTAGTCTGAAAATGTTGGTTCTTAGTGCACTCATGGCCAAAGAATGACCAGACACACCAAAATAAGGCAAGCATGAAAGTGAGGTTTATTGAGGAGAGAAAGATAGGATTATAGGGCAAGGGCAAGATATAGGTTTACATATGCCACAGATGACTGGGCCCATTGTCACAATAAAGGGAGAGCAGAAGGAAGGGTGCAAAAAAGGGACTTGGTTAGGGTCTGCATCTTGTTTTATAGTGCCTGGATTGAGACCTCCCTCGTGGTTCAGAGGTCACCATGGCACCACTTTGATTGGGCAGTTGGGAGCTGCATGACCTGAGTCTTGCAGTGCATGCCGATATCCCATGAGCCTCTCTGAAAGCCCATTTGCATGGAGGGTGAATTGCAGCATATCCACTTTCACCCCTAGGTGACTCCTAATCCCTCACTATCTACCTAACAGCCCCATTAAATGGCCTTGGTTATGTTATCAAAACACCACTAACCATTAATGTAGGAGTTTACTTCTGACTCTCAATTCTTTCCCGATGATCTCCATGTCTTTCTTTATGCCTTTACACACCATTTTTTCCCCAAAGGTAATAATGTTTTAGAAAGGAAACACATCCTTTGTGCTCACCGGCCCCAGTCCTACCTCTGGGAATCATTGCCACCCTCTGTCTTAATGACTTGCCACACCATCCTTGAGATTTGAGAGACTGTTTAAATTTGAGGATTTTAAAGTTGAAAGTTGAACACTCTTATTTCACAGAAAAAGAATGTGAGACCCTCTGTATTATTCTTCTAAATGAAAGTATATTTCCGTCACCTGTTGTAACGGAAGCATGATATCTGACTAGGGCTAGCGTAGATGTATAATTATGGGGCACCCCACACTCTACAGTTCTCTCTATAACACAGGCCCTGGCAGAGCAAGGTCCACAGAAGCAAACAAGAAGGTACAGAGTAGAAACTTAACAAAAGGATGGCTAGATGCCAAAAATAAATTACACCTCCTTGAAATTTCTGTATAGAGCTTACACATTTTAGCTGGCTCTCCTAAACAAATGCTTCCACATCTACAGTGTGCTTGTGTTTCTTTAAAGCTATTGCTGAGATTCCTCTCCTCACCTTTAAGGTCCCTCACATTATTTGGAAATGGAGAGTGCAAAGTCAAGACTTCAGTTCTCTTCATGTTTCAAGTTTGTTTTTTACTTTTAACGCATTTCTAATTTTAAATATATATGCTATATTTTATAAACAGTAAACTTTCCAGCTACAGACGATACAGGGAAACCTATTATAATGGAAAAACATAGATTTGCTAAAATATTTTCAAAATAACAATTATTCGTGTGTGTGTATACACACATACCCAATCTTGTTTATTAGTGCATGACTGATACATGGTCTACAAGATCAGACTGTTCTTAAGACTTCTTCCTGAAGAATTTTATCTCTGTGCAGTTTAAAAGGTGAGTGAATAGAGTTGAGTTGAGCAAAACTTATGCAACCTGTTAGCCTCAGTCATTCGATAGCCTGTCTTAGAAAACAGAATGATAATGCAGATAGAGTCATATTTATCCAATTGTCCCTTTAGGGAGAGAATTTGGGAGGTATGATAAAGTAGCAAGACAAATTTTTCTCAGCTGATTAGACTGATCTGTTATGCACTCTGAATTAGTAATTAATTGCTCTTTAAAGATTATTTTCATAAATAATTGGCTTCATAGGCTTATTTGAATATTTTTTTTATTTGTATAACAGTATTTATATTCTGATGGAAGGGTTAGGATTTCTCAGTACTGCATGTAAATTCTTCTGTAGTAAAGTATGAAAACCTCGAAAAGACAAATATACACAAACTACAAGATTAGTGGTTACATCTGGAGGGGGAGGAACAGAGCTTTAATGTTATATTTAACAATTTTTTTCATAAAAAGATGTAAAGCAAATATTGCAGAATGTTTGTTAAACCTTAGCTAGGGAATAGATATGTGGGTATATGTTTAGCAGTTACTGTTTATAAGGATATGACAAGATTACTGGCAGATATTGAAGAGAGATTCAGAGAGTAATACAATAATTCTTAGGTTAGATATTGGGAAATCTGGGTTCTCTTCCCAGCTTTGCTGATAATCAATTTTGAATCTAGGCAAATCTCTGTTTTAAGTGGGTATTCTTTGGTCCAGTTATCACTTTATATATTCCCTGTGATTGATCTCATTCACTCTCTTGACCAATTATTTATGACCTAATGATTCTCAATATAGTAAAAAATGAATCCAAAAATAAATTTCTCCCATATAGGTCTCTGACTTCTTATGAGTATAGATGTGATTGCCATAAAAAAATCTAAATTTTAACGTACATACTAAAACCTTGAGGAAGCCTCTTCCAATTTATTAATACTTACTTGAACATCATCTATGCTTTAAGTAAGTAAATAATAAAAAGGTTTTAACATACGTACAGAACATAAACAAGCATACATCTTAAAAGTTATTAAAATGTAATGTTCAGAAAAGTTTCATTCATTGTTAAATTGCATCTATTTTAATCTATTTTAACACCTTGTTTCTGACACTGAAATTCTGGAAGCAGGTAAAAGATTTTTATTATAAAATAGTCCTTTGATCCATCATAATGATTCTCTGTAAGCAGATCTACTGGTATAATCCATGATTTCATTTTAAAAAGAAGACCACTCCACATGCAGAACTGTCCCAAAAAAAAATAAATAAATAAATAAAATAAATAAATAAAAAGAAGACCACTTTAGAGAGATTACCATTATTTTTTTCCTGTGGCGTTTCATTAATGAATGACTACTGGATTGTCATGGTCACTTTAATGGTTATTGTGTCATTGTCTTGTCCAACAGTGCCCTGGACAGCAGAAAATAACTATGTCCTGTTGTTGCCAGGGCTGGCCAGAATGCAAAGAGACCTTTCTTTCTAAAACCAAGAGCATTTTCTTTTCAATGGCAGCTGTCATGATTTTCACCTTAGATATAATAGCTAAACTTACTTGTTCTGTATTTACTTTTCCTTAAATTGCCTGTTCCTAAATTGCTTATTTATTTACTCTCTTTTGCCCTTTACTGTGGAGCTGTAGTGTTCAGATCTTTCATGGGAATAGAAATGGAAAGAAACTCCCTCTTTTCTCTGATTCTCTGGAACCAAAACCAGCTCCATCAGTATTTAATTGACAACAACAAACTCACCTAAATACTACTAAGAGCTCTTTTTGAGTCATCTTTACTTTCTTTTTCAAACATGCACATTTTTATCCCTCCAAGGGCATTTAATTTTCACACAAAGCAGTCCATAAGTAAAAGAATTTCAGCTCCTTATGGTAAAATTGCATTGACTCTAAGAGCCTATATCTAAAAGGGATTTTAAGAAAATGTAGAGAGCCTGTGGCTGTACTGTTGACTTGTACTTGGTAAAAACTGAAGAGCCCTGTTGAGACTAGTTAAAACGGCTTACTCAGGCCGTGGGCAGTGGCTCCTGCCTGTAATCTCAGCACTCTGAGAGGCTGAGGAGGGCGGATCTCCGCTCAAGGTCAGGAGTTCGAAACCAGCCTGAGCAAGGGAGAGACCCTGTCTCTACTGTAAATAGAAAGAAATTAATTGACCAACTATAAATATATATACAAAAAATTAGCCGGCATGGGGTACATGCCCTGTAGTCCCAGCTACTCCGGGAGGCTGGCAGTAGGATGCTTGACGCCAGGAGTTTGAGGTTGCTGTGAGCTAGGCTGACACCATGGCACTCAACTCTAGCCTGGGCAACAAAGTGAGACTCTGTCTCAAAAAAAACCCGGCTTACTCCAGGGTGAAGTTCTCCTGACAATTCCTATTGATATTCCGCTAAGAGTCTTAATTACTTATGTGGCACCCAAAAGACTGATTCTTCAGTGGTATCTGTAGGGGTCATTTCCCCTGCAGATTTTCGTTTATGATCTTCGGTTTTTTTTTTTTTTTTTTTTTTTTTTTTGTTTTTTTGAGACAGAGTGTCTCACTTTGTTGTCCAGGCTAGAGTGAGTGCCGTGGCGTCAGCCTAGCTCACAGCAACCTCAAACTCCTGGGCTCCAGTGATCCTTCTGTCTCAGCCTCCCGAGTAGCTGGGACTACAGGCATGCGCCACCGATGCCCGGCTAATTTTTTATATATATCTCAGTTGGCAATTAATTTCTTTCTATTTATAGTAGAGACGGGGTCTCTCTTGCTCAGGCTGGTTTTGAACTCCTGACTTGAGCAATCGCCGCCTCCCTGGCCTCCCAAGAGCTAGGATTACAGGCGTGAGCCACAGCCCCGGCCGACTCTTCGGTTTTTAACCACTGATGGCCATGCTCCACGACCACCCTGTGGCTACTCAGGGCCCTCCATCAATCCAGCTAATGCAGTGAGGATTGTTCTCAGCAACTCCCTGTATTCATGGTTTATCCCTCACTTAAGTCTCCACGCTTGCCATTTGAGACATTATACAGTATGAATTGTGTGCTAATAAGAAACTTACATATATGAGAGTTAAAATTCATGCTGACTAGTCCTATCTGATCTTCATTATCCTTTTGAGTCATGTTTTTAAATGTACTCTTACCCACAGGATGAAGATATTGAATGAAAAGTAAAGTTCTCATATTGCCAAGGAGATCATGAGCTCAGAGAAAGTGTAAGTATCTAGTTTACAATTCAGAAGATTGCTTTTCACCCATTGGCTCATTTAAAACATTTTTTCATTGCTGTTTTTTACAGGTTCGTGATGTGTTAAAACTTTTGCATATTGTAAGTATCTGCTATTTTTTAAATCTATTTCTCTTTATATTTCCCTACCCCTAAAAGTTTTCAGCAAACTTAAATGAATTACATGTATATGCTCTCTAAACATGGTTATGTTTTAAAATTCACATGTATATCTAATATACTATAGACATTCTAAAATGTATATATCTCATGTATATATAGATAAATGATTTCTGAAATATAGTCTTTATGTCTCAAAGTCTTTAAACTTCTACTCATAATAGTTTTAAGATAGATAATATATCTTCTTGGGCATTGCAGATGATAGCTGCTATAAGAAGAATTTTGGACTAGCAATGGAAATGTCATTATCATTGTTCAAAACTGTTTTCTCCTATCTGCATAAGCTCTCAGAAACAGATACTTGAAATAGACATTTTTCAAACTAACCTTTAAAGTCTTTTTCAATTTTATAATTGTCAACTTGAACAGACCCGTTGAAAAAATATGATATGTATCTGACCACACATTCATTTTTCTCATGCCACTCCTTTGTGCTTGCAAGTTTTACAAGTGTCATTGACACTTGGCAGTTAACATACTTTTAGTGTTACTTTATTCCAATTATTTTAGGTAAGAGATTAAGACAAAGTGGTAAAACAAAAGAAAGGGTAGAGAAAAATATAAAAAGAAATTGAACTGAAAATGTACTTATGTGGTATAATTACTAACATCATAAATTAAGCTTAATTGCCAGAATTGGAAGGTTCACAAAATATATAACCCATTTGTGTCCTTGCAAAATTATCATTGGAAGTTTTCTTTTAAGAGTACATATGAACATGAAAAGAGGTTCACTTATGGGTGATTCTCATTCACCATATGCTTCCTTTGTGCACTATACTTAATCCAGTAGAAACATGGGGCTAATTCCTATGTGAAAACCTCTAGCTTTGAAACATTTTCTAAAAATTTCGTGACATTGCTACTTCATTTTGAGAAAATATTTCCCTGTGAAAAGTTTTTCACGTTAACTCTTGACTATATTGCTAAGTTCTTTTTATAATTAATTTTTTTAAATGATAGGAGAATAGTTCATCACTCAAACTGTTGACTTGAGTTTCAAGCATATTGTCTTTTTATATAAATGATATTTACCTTTTTTTTTTTTTTGAGACAGAGTCTTGCTTTGTTGCCCAGGCTAGAGTGAGTGTCGTGGTGTCAGCCTAGCTCACAGCAACCTCAAACTCCTGGGCTCAAGTGATCCTCCTGCCTTAGCCTCCCAAGTAGCTGGGAGCTACAGCTCGGCGGAGCCCACCTGCCAGCTAATTTTTTTGTTTCATTTTTAGTTGACTGGCTAATTTCTTCTATTTTTAGTAGAGACTGGGGTCTCTATCTTGCTCAGGCTGGTCTCAAACTCCTGAGCTCAAGCAGTCCTCCCACCTCTACCTTCCAGAATGCTAGGATTACAGGCGTGAGCCACCATGCCCAGCTGATATGCTTTTTAAATAAGTGACTTTTCAGAATGAACACCTTTAGCTGCTTTTTCATGAATATCCCCACCACATCTTAGACATGTAACATAGTCTAATTACATATGATACAATAGGGTTTTTTCATTATATTACTTCTCTGATGGGAGATGGGTTTAGCAAACATCTCTATAAATGTATTTTATAAATATCCAAATAGTATGAATTTTAAAAAATATTTTGGAGGGAAATGATCAGACTTTGGGGTCTTTTGGACAAAGATGGGCTGGTTAAATAGTACTAATAATGAAGCACCTTTGCTGAACTAATTTCTTTAAGATTGAGACATACATTCCTTTGAAAATTTGAGAGAGACCTAAAAAATTCCATAGAGCTAGAGGCAAGGCTACTGGGGCATACCGATGTATATTATTACTGTACAGAATATATCTTTTATTTTTTAACGCATTATAAAAAGAAATAGAAGGCTTCCTCAGTTCTCATGTTTTTCCCATTTTAAAATCACTTCATCATGTTTTACTGAGTATAACCTGTCTTTTGAGTCTTATGAACCATTTAATTATCATTTCTTCTTTGGTTGTAATGAGTCCTCCTCTACCTTCCGTTGACATGGCTATTAAACCTTCACTTTTGAGCAACTTCATTCATAAGAGGACTGTACTTCACTGAATGAAGTTCATTGTGCAAAGCATCTGTTTTGCTGCCAAGGTGTTTTTCCCACCTTGGTTTGGTATTTCCTTGTCTTTATATGCCTCTGTTTCAGAGCTCTTTTTCCAAGCTTCCATGGACTTATGGATCTTAAATGATCTTCATCTAATCATTTAAGCTAACCAGATCTTCTTTAACTAAATAAATGGCCTTCTACTGAGTGCCCTCTGTGTGTCTTGCAGCATTCTAACTATGTTTCATAAATTATTTATCTTAATCCTTATAACAAGGGTATCAAATAGATATTACTATTATTATTTTAAATGAGGAAAGTAAGGTAACTATTAAAAGTAATTCACTACTAAATGGCAAAGCTGGACTTTGAAGTCTGGTCTGTCTGAGTCCTTGCGCTTAGTGATTGTTTAGGAATTGATTAAAAATTGTTACTTGAAATCTCTATCATGCTGAATAGGGTATGCTGTATCTGTAGGTATATTCACTTGCTTTTAGGATTCTTTCGGTTGCCTTGGAAACCAGAGAAATTCTTGTTTTTCATCTTCTAAAGATGAAAATGAAGCTAGATCTTGGTCACTTGGGATATATTATGATAATTACTTGATAATGTTATTAAAGGGGATTGGAAACTTGAGGTGAAAGGATTGGTTTCAGGCATGTTTTATCCAGTTTTGCATTGATGGTTATGCATCATATCACCAGGTTTGTGTATATATATAGAGAGAGAGGAATAATTTCACTGGGAAAAATTTTCATTTTAGAAACAAAGTTGAATTGTTAATGTGGGGACTTCCCTCCCCCTACTTTTACTTCATAGTTTCACACTCACTTCTGCATATTTATCATAGCTCTTTGACCTCAACAGCTGCTTTACTTTTGCTTAGTATGAACTGGTTCTCAGTGTACTTCATGAGGACAGGGAGTCTTACAGAGCTCCCTGTCTCTCCATATGTCCATCTGGTCTTTGTAATTCACTTTATCATGATATTGGTTAACTAATGCCTTGAGGTCAGGAAGCCCAGTTAGGACAGCTGGTAATTAAGTCATATACTCCTCTTTGGCACTGGAGATATAAAGTCTAACCCTGAACAAGGCCATCTGTTTTGTGCTTCATTGCCTCAGAGGTTTCATACTTGACTTTATTTGCACTGATTTCTGCTTAGGTCTTCACCAAGTGATCAGACCTGGCAAAGCTAGTATGTTAATGCTGCAAAGGAATTAAAGATCAATTTAAAGTTGATCTGGTCTTTATTTGTAAATTTGGGTGCAATTATTAAGAATAATATTATGATAAGCTTTGTAGTTCAGAGCCCCATTTCTATCTCTAAAAATTCTAAGTTGAACAAGCATTTGGTTATTTTGACCAGAAACTAGAGTGTAGGTGGTTCAGTTTTACATACAGAATCTCAGGTGGGTTTTATCTATCTATAAGGTCTGAAGTATAGATACTGTACTTGATACTAACAAACTCTGTAGCTTGCCTAACATTTTGCATTCTAGCCTCCCACCCCTCCCCCTCTTAATATAATTACCCAGCTTTTCCAGTATGAAAAAGTAAACTCTGGATCTAATTTTTGAAGTGCTAGTCTTGCTGTCTTGCATCCTCACTGATTTAGTCAAGGATGTGTTGGCGAATTTATTCTTCTGCCCCAAAATAGCTTTGCCTTTCTGGCTCTTCAGTGTCATCACACTTTCCCAAATTATCCTGGCTGTTAACATTCAGAAAAATAACCAGACATATGTTGTAATAATCCTGTTTTTATTTTTATTTTTTTTTAAAAAGATGTTACCTCTTTCCAGTGGCATCAATTTTGGCAATGGTTGAGACTCATGAAGAGCTGAGATGTTAAAGATTTAGTGTGCAGTTCCTTTGTGAATTAGTTACATCTGGCACTGGGGCCAAACACATTGCTGTCAGTGAGTGGTGGCCCAAGAGGTAAGGGATTGAGTTTGGGGCCAGGGCTACTGCATGTGGTTGTGGAGGCCATAATTGTTAGTGGAGGGAGCTCTTGGTGTGAGTTGCTTTGGCCTAGAGTAGAGGGTTCCCTTTTCTGTTTTCAAAAATGCATCCTGAGGCCGGGCGAGGTGGCTCACGCCTGTACTCCTAGCACTCTGGGAGGCCGAGGCTGGCAGATTACTCAAGGTCAGGAGTTCGAAACCAGCCTGAGCAAGAGCGAGACCCTATCTCTACTATAAATAAAAAGAAATTAATTGGCCAACTAATACATAGTGAAAAAATTAGCTGGGCATGGTGGCGCATGCCTGTAGTCCCAGTTACTCAGGAGGCTGAGGCAGCAGCATTGCTTGAGCCCATGAGTTTGAGGTTGCTGTGGGCTAGGCTGATGCCACGGCACTCACTCTAGCCTGGGCATCAAAGCGAGACTCTGTCTCAAAAAAAAAAAAAGACACCCTGAAAACCAGTGATGGCCCTAGTAGTGTTAAAGAAATAATTATTCAGTGACACTATTAATTGAACAAATGGGCTCACTGCCTGATGCCCAAAGAAGCCAATGCTACAGCACTGGCTTTTGAGAAAAGGCTTTATTGCAAGACTGGCCAGCAAGGAAGCAGAAGGTGAGCTCAAATCTGTCTCCCTGATTTGGGGTGTACGGCAAGTTTATAAGCTTGAAGAGTAAGGGAAGGGATTGTGTAATATTAGGTTGGCAGGGTCTGATTGGAGGGCTTCAAATTTGACCATTTATAGTAAGGTATGTTAAGAATCTTCCTGGCCAATGGATCCCTTGCTTCTGAAAGAGTTCCTGTGATCATGTTCTTCTGTTCATGTCCTGGTCATTTCCCGGTCTTGGTTCCCAGGGGAAGAATTGTCGGTTCCAGGCGTTGTTAGAAGTCAGAGCTTTTTCTGTTGCACATACCTGTGCTACGTTGACTTGTAGTTTTTGGCTGTGCTATGCCTATAAGGTAACTTGACATTTTGTTACCAAGAGACTAGGCCCAGTTTGAGCTGGTCCCGTGGTTTCTGCACTTGTTAAAGCACAGCAAGGCAGACTTTATTCAGGACTTTTGCCGTAGGCATAGGGACCACTGCAATGGGCTTTTGCAGTGGGGGAGAGAGATGGGGCACACCTTCAAATATAACATGTGCAAGTGGGAATTTATAGCCAAGGAGCAAAGTGGGAGTCAGTGGAAAATTACTAAGAGAGTACATCAAGGGTAAGGAGGATTCTGCCTAAACCAACTTAACAGGATTCTTGCTGAAAACAGTCCAGGGTGATCAGACAGTCCTGGGGGATGGTGGATGATGAGGAACCCGAACAGATATCAAGGATGGGAGGTTCTTGCTAAAACTGGAGTTTACAAGAAACTGCACAGATGGGCCTAAGAGAAGTTTCAGGAACATGACTAGTTTGGTCAAACAAAGAATCTTTGTCAAGTGCTTGCTTAGAATATGTAATGTTCTAGCATGAGCAAGAGGGAGACCCCGTCTCTACAGAAAAATAGAAAAATTAGCTGGACATAGTGGTGCGTACCTGAAGTCCCAGCTAGCTACTTGGGAGGCTGAGGCTGGAGGATCACTGGAGCCCGGGAGTCTGAGGTTGCAGTGAGCTATGTTGACACCGCTACACTCTAGCTTGGGTGATAGAGCAAGACCCTGGGTCTTATGGCTATATACTCTCTAAATTTCTAGTCTTTATTAAATGTTCTTTTTCTATTTTAATTATTAAATTTCTAATTTAGTCTGACATACTACTTCTAATTTAAAAGAAGACAGCTGGGCGTGGTGGCTCATGCCTGTAATCCCAGCACTTGGTGGGAGGCCAAGTCAGGAGGATCACTTGAGTCCAGCAATTTGAAACCAGCCTGTGCAACACAGCAAGATCTCATCTCTACCAAAAAAAAAAATAGCCGAGTGTGATGGTGTGTGCCTGTGGCCCCAGCTACTTGGGAGGTTAAGGCAGGAAGATCCCTTGAGCCAAGGAGTTTGAGGTTGCAGTGAGCTATGATTGAGCCACTGCACTCCAGAGTGACAGAGTGAGACCCTCTGAAAAGAAAAGAAAGAAAGAAAAGAAAAGAAGACATCATGGGCCATCAGTTCATTCAGAGCTAGCTACAAACATCCAGTAGTACTAGAAAAATAAAGTTTTGCCTGGTATGTGACAAGGAAGGGCCTCTTGTTTAGAGGTGGCCATCTCACTGGTCAGCCCAGTTTGGATTTGTCTGCTCTCTGTTAAATATGTCTTAAATAAACAAGTTTCCTTCTTGGCAATGGTGGCAGACATATGGAATGCAGGATCTGGCAAAAGCTGTGTCAAACTGGGTCCTTACGTTATTTAGCAGCTAACATCTACTGTCACTGTCATGGTTGAGAAAATGCCTTCCAACTGGAAAACAAAAATTATCCTGCTGCCACAGGACAAATATAGCCATCACTTATTTTACCAGAAGAAAGGGTGGTGCTTGCTGCTTTTTGGAGCAAGGAACTCTTGCATGCAAATTAATCACTACACTGGTAAAAACAAACAAATAAAAAATACCATAGAGGATGTTGAACTGTTGCGCTTTGAATGGAGGAAGTTATTCCTGATACCTAAATGTATTCTATAGCTCTGCCCCATAGCAGACAGTCTAATGACTTTCAAAAGTGTTAGTAGCTCTATTTTCTCCTAATAAATATGAGTGTTGATTGAAGCAAGCCGTTGGGAGGTGGAATGTGGCCAATATCCATTTGATTTCTGGAGATGTTTTCTGGATTGGAGCTTGTATAAGTTACATATTCTTACATTATATTAATTAGTTATGCAGTTAGTTCTTTAGTTACTAGTGTGAGTAGTTGATTCCTTCTAGCTAATGTAATTATTGGATCAATAAAACTAGTCCTAGGTTCTGAGTTCTAAGTGGAGGGGTTTTTGGCATTAGTTAAGCATAAGAGGATTTGACTTACCTAAAAAAGCCATACTTTAGAAAAGTAGCCCTTTCTTGTACTTTAGAGTTATATTTGAATTTTTTTTTGTCCAGAAGAGGTCTAAGTAATAATACTCATGGCTAATATAAGTATGTTGGGAGCACGAGTTGATGGGCTTAGGGGAGGAAATAATCCTTTTTGTTTATTTTATTTGCCCAGTGAATCCCTGAAGGGAAAGCACTTGGATATAAAGGTCAAGGAAGATAAGGCCTATTGGCGAGTCATTTTACCCAACCTTTGCTTTAGGATTTTAGTTAATTAGAACTGCTATTTCTGAGAAGTAACAATTGTTTGTTTTTGAATACTCTGGCCTGTGGAACAGATTCCACTATGTTTTACTTATATCTTGAGGCCCACCCCCAGGGTACAAAGAAATCTAGACAAATAATCATCTCCTGCTCCACCCTTTCTAAGTCCCTGGGAGTGATAGGGTGTGGTGGTGTTGACCTATATTAAAACTCGGTACAAATCGTCTAGGGAACAGTAGATGAAAAATAATATATGGAAAGCAAGTTTTTTATTTTGTCAAAAGTGTATAAACCCAGATTAATTTATTGGGGAAGCTGGCTAAAAGGAGGGGAGAATTTAAGGTCCAGAGTTAAAACATTTTGTTGATCTTGTGTGCCAAATGCATTGCGAAAAGCTTTATGTGCAATATCTAATTAAAGACTCATACTGTTACAGTCATTTAACAGATGAGAAAAATGAACTGGCCGAAGGGAGCACAGTCAATCAGGAGCAAGGGCTGGGATCCTGGCTTCTGATGATGCAGCCTGTGCTTGCCCTAACATGCTCTGCCACTGATAGAATGTTCCAGTTGCTGATCACCAAAAGTAGACAGGGAATAGAACTATTAAATCCAGAATAAAATTAGTTCAGATCTCTTAGGGACTTTTAAAATAAGTGGATTGTGTCTGTACAATGATACTGGAATAATTTTAAAGACTAGAAATTGCAGTACAATTTCCAGACACCCTCTTAGTATAATTGCTGAGTTTGGAGATCAAACTTAATAGGTTTAAGAGACATATCATACAATGTGTTATAAAATTCAATATCCACCCCAACCACTGTGTAATAGGCTTTTTGTGAAGTTACATGTGTATGTATATTGTTTTTCCTGCTCTGGACTGTAACAGGACTTCCGGGATGCAGTAGCCCATGCTTCCAGGCAACTTGGGAAACCAGTGATTGAGGACCGGATTCTAAATCAGATCCTATACTACTTGCCTCAGCTGTATGAGCTCAACCGGGATCTCCTAAAGGAACTGGAGGAAAGAATGTTGAACTGGTAAAAATGTTTCCAATTTTAGATGAAGCCATACAGGCCCCATGTGTGTGAGAGAGGTGTTAATTCCTTACATTGAGTTGTTTCAATATATTGAATTTTTTTTCAGTTACCTATAGATTAATTATTATTATTATTATTTTTAGACAGTCTCACTTTGTTGCCCAGGCTAGAGTGAGTGCTGTGGCGTCAGCCTAGCTCACAGCAACCTCAATCTCCTGGGCTCAAGCGATCCTTCTGCCTCAGCCTCCCGAGTAGCTGGGACTACAGGCATGCGCCACCATGCCTAGCTAATTTTTTGTATATATATTTATAGTTGGTCAATTAATTTCTTTCTATTTTTAGTAGAGACAGGGTCTGGCTCAAGCTGGTCTCGAACTCCTAACCTTGAGTGATCCGCCTACCTCAGCCTCCCAGAGTGCTAAGATTACAGGCGTGAGCCACTACACCTGGCCCTAGCCACTACACCTGGCGAAAAGATCACAACCTTGGCACAACAAAACTCAATACTACAATTTTTTTTTTTTAAACAGGAACTGCAACGTCAAACTCTGGGTTCAAACAATCCTCTTTCCTCAGCCTCCTGAGTAGCTGGGACTATAGGCATGCACTATGATGCCTGGCTAGTTTTTCTAGTTTTATTAGAGATGGGGTATCGCTCTTGCTCAGGCTGTTCTCCAACTTTTTTTTTGAGACAGAGTCTCACTCTGTTGCCTGAGCTAGAATGCCGTAGCATCAACCTAGCTCACAGCAACCTCACATTCCCTGGCTCAAGCGATCCTCCTGCCTCAGCCTCCTGAGTAGCTGGGACTACAGGCATGCACCACCATGCCCGGCTAATTTTTTTCTATATATATTTAACTGTCCAATTAATTTCTTTGTATTTTTAGTAGAGACGGGGTCTTGCTCTTGCTCAAGCTGATTTTGAACTCCTGACCTTGAGCGATCTGCCCTCCTCGGCCTCCCAGAGTGCTAGGATTACAGGCGTGAGCCACTGTACACGGTCTGTTCTCCAACTTTTGAGCTCAGTCCATCCTCCCATCTCAGCCTCCTGAGTAGCTGGGACTACAGGTATAGGCCACCATGCCCAGCTAATTTAATTTTTTGAAGAGACAAGGTCTCTAATACTATAATTTTTTAAATTCTTTGTTAAGAACTGCCTCATAAGCAAGAAGGGCCCAGATTCAGCCAATTTAAATTTCTGTAGGTGACCTTTGATGATTAGAATTTTGCATTTGAAAGAGAATAGTGACATATTCACATTGGAAAAGTTTTTAAATGTTTTATCTGTCTTCTGGAACTGCAGGTCATGAAACTTCCTTTGCATTTTTGAAAAGGGGCCACTCATTGAGATCATAGTATGATAGTTTGTTTTGGAAAGGCAAATTTACATAGGTATGACATCATTGTAGACACTGTAGATTTCAGAATGGGAAGAGAATCCCAAAGGTTAGTATTGGAAGCTACTTTCATTGGTCTAAAGAAAAACGGTAAGCGGAAGCTTTGGTGACTTCTGTGGAAATATGTAGAAGGAATGGTCTGAGAGGATTGAATTTATTATTGAAGTCCATGGGGCACACAAAATGATTAGAATACGAAATTAATATCACCTACTTTCATGTGCAAAATGTGTCTCTAAGCTTTCCTTATATATAAACCAGAAAAATATCTCTGCCTGCTTTGGAAATATCATCATGCCTCTGCATGTTGAGAAGATAAGGTAAATAAGCAATTAATACTTAGCTGTCACCTAAGGATAAAATAACAGACTGAGGAATGACTAAAGGTAGTTTTTAAAAGTCATGATAGAAATGTAATTACAAAAAATATTATTGTATATGCTTTGTCATTTTCTGTTATTAAAATTATCTTAAGAAAAAATATTTTAGAAAACAAAAAGGAAAAAATAATTATTTTAAAAATGAATCTGAGCCAGGCATGGTGGCACTTGCCTATAGTCCCACCTGTTAATACTTGGGAGGCTGAGGTGGGAGGATCACTTGAGTGCAGGAGTTTGAGGGTACAGTGAGTTATGATCTTACCAGTCTGGGTAACAAAGCAAGACCCTATCTCCAAAAAATAAAAAAAGAAAAAGAAAAATTAAAATCTAAAAAATTTTAAAGATAATTTTAAAAAATCTGGAGAGACTGCCAGGAGCAAAGAGTAAACACATTTCCACACTCAGGCCCTCCCTGACTCACTGGAATTCCAACAGTGCAGAGAAAGTGCCTGCTCCCTACAGGCCCTGGGCTAGACCTTGGGGCTACATGAAAAACTCAAATAAAAATGGAGAATCTGAGGTGTGATTTTCAGCACTTAAGGAAAAGCCCGGTTGTCCTACCACAAGGGGGTTTCAGTCTAGGTACATTTGCTTGTGGCACAAAGATCCAACTACTGAGACAACCAGGATTGCCAAGGAAGAAAGGAATTTCTAATAGGACACACAGATGTCTTAGAAGCTGCCTTAAATCCCTTCTCTGACTAATGGAGATCATGGGCTTTTTAAGGTGGGGCCACATGCCTTGGGGCAGGTTGAGGGGGATGGTGAGTCCTAGTGTCAGGAAGTCATCCATCATTTCTGGGAAACAACTCAAAAGGTCAAGTAGTTAATTTTACAGCCAGGCACTGGAGTGGTGGCTCATGCCTATAATCCTAGCACTCTGGGAGGCCAAGGCAGGAGGATTGCTTGAGCTCAGGAGTTGGAGACCAGCCTGAATGAGAGAGTGAGAACCCATCTCTCCAAAAAATAGAAATATTAGCTGGGCATGGTGATGTGCACCTGTCATCCCAGCTACTTGGGAGGCAGAGGCAGGAGGAGGATCGCTTGAATCCAGGAGTTCAAGGCTAAAGTGAACTATGATGATGTCACTGTACTCTAGCCAGGGAAATTCTAGAGTGAGACTGTCTCAAAAAAAAAAAAAAAGATTATAGAAAATATACAGGGGTCATTGAAATTTGTTCATGGAGCAAGTTACAGCCCCAGAAAGAAACACATAAAGATGAGGATACTAAGAATAAGAATAAATTGAAGACAAATCTCGACCACTGTGCTCTTCAGGAGCCAACCCTGTGAGAGGGATTCACTGCCCAGTAGCAAGACTGGCTTTCCACTGTCTCTACCAGGTTCTGAAAGCTGAATCTTGACTCTGATTCCCACTGAGAGACTAAGGAGAATCACAGTTCCATGTACTCATGGCTCTTCCACTTCCCCGAACCCTATGTCATGAACATGACATTGGAAATCAAAAAAGACAAAGAGGAAATTAATCTGAATTGGCTTCAATAATATTTAGGCAAGCATTATAAAGAGGATTAAATATATTTTTGCTTGTACTAAAAGTTTCCTCAAGTTTAGATCTGTAGATGTTCTATGTGAAAATATTAAGCATGCCTGAGTAACAGATGAAATTGATGAAAGGGACAATTAAAACTATAATTATGGGAAAAACTCCACCATTACTGACATAATAAAATTCATTTAAACCTTGGATGAGATATTTGCCATTTATTAAAATATTTTTCTCTCAGGGATCTTTGAGTCAAGACTTATTCTTTGGTTTTAGTAGACTTTCAGGAATAACATTTTCCACTGGCTTTTAGTAACAATTGATGAACTATTTCATTTTCACATTCAACAAGATTTTCTGATGTATATCTGTGTGCCAGTCTGTGCTCTAAGTATGCAGAGGATATCAGAGTGCACAGAATAGACAGGGCTTTTACTCTCAGAGGAGCAGGCATTTAATGGAGGAAGGACCAGAAAAATAGACAAGAAAAATATCAAAAGCAGTTTCTGATCTGCAGAGACATAAAATAGGATGCTGTGGTAGTAAGTGAAGACTGAGTGGCCAAGGAAGGCCCTCTAAGAAGGTGGAGCATTTAAATTGACATCTGAATGAAAAAAAAGAGCAGCCAGCGTTCTGTATTTCCAGGCAGGTGGAACCATAAGTAAACGTCTGCAGTGTGGGAATGAACTCTGTATGTCCAAAGAATATAAGGTAGAGTTTGTTTTTATTTCTAAGTGAAATAGAGGGCCATTGGAAGTCACATAATATACACATTTTTTGGATTTCTGGCTATGCTGAAGAACAGGATGGAGGAGGTAAGAATGGAAACAGGGAGACCTGTCATCGGGCTGGCAGCATCCAGGCAAGATGTGAAGGTAGCAGTAGAAATACATGGTGAAGAGTAACCATATTGGGATATATCTTAGAAAAAGAGAAGAAATTATAAGCTAATGGCTGGGTTGTGGGACTCTGCTCATCATTGGATGTGTTTTGGATATGTTTGTTATTCTCTTTTTATAATTTTATCTATTCCCTCTCCATAGGACTGAACAACAAAGAATTGCTGATATCTTTGTAAAGAAGGGACCATATCTGAAAATGTATTCTACATACATAAAAGAATTTGATAAGAATATAGCTTTGCTGGATGAACAGTGCAAGAAAAACCCAGGCTTTGCTGCCGTTGTCAGAGAGTTTGAGGTATGTCCTACCTTCTAATGTTGAACACTTCTCTTTCTTTCTTCTTGTTTTTGAAACTTTAATAATTTGTAGTTGTTAAAAAACAAAGCTAACACACAAAAAGATGCCAGAATATAATCCCTTCAAAATCAAAGAAGGAATTAAACAAATTAAATGGCGAGAACTTAAGTAGTGTACAAGATTTAATTTTGAAAAGCTGTTAATGCACATCAAAATATTTTTTTACTTGGAAAAATAATATTTTGATGGAACTTTTTTAATAATTGTGGTAAAATACACATAACATAAACTTACCATTTTAACCATGTTTAAGTGTACAGTTCAGTAGGGTTAAATACATTGACATTGTTGTGCAACCAAATCTCCAGAACTCTTTTCATCTTGCAAAACTGGAGCTCGACAACCGTTAAACATTAACTCTCCATTCTCTCCTCCTTCCCAGCCCCTAGCAACCACCATTCATTCTCCTTTCTGTCTCAATGAATTTGATTACTCTAGAAAATTTGTCTTATTTTTTATTTAACTTTTCCTTTTATTATAACAAATCTGCAATGATGGATGGGAAATATAATTTGTTTCCCTTTAGGTAAATAAATAATACAGTTTTAGTGTCAAAGTTAAGAAAAATTAATAATCTGTTCGTAGCATGTGACAGCCAAAACTTTGTGTTTTGACTCAAAACTAAGAGGGTGCAAGCTTGATTTGATATAACACATGTTTTTTTAAGAAAATTAGTTTTGTTTATTATTTTTTATTTTTTTGTGAGATAGAGTCTTGCTCTGTTGCCCGGGCTGGAGTACAGTGGCATCATCATAGCTCACAGCAACCTCAAACTCCTGGGCTCAAGCTATCCTCTTGCCTCAGCCTCCCAATTCACTGGGACTACTGGTACATGCAACCACACCCAGCTAATTTTTCTATTTTTTTGTAGTGACAAGGTCTTGCTATTGCCCAGGCTTAAGTCCTCTCCACCGTTATGGGGTAAATATTGGGTTCCTACATTTTAGGACTTATTTTTTGTTTCTAAACCAAAAAGATCAGCGAATTCTAGTCACACTAAACTAGAAATGAAGAGCTTTAAAATATCATGGTATTGCTGATATCTAATTTGTGCAATATACAAATAATTAAACTTTCAAATCATTTGTGGTCTTCTTTTCTTTTCCTTTGGTGTCTTTACTCTATCAATAAACAACATGTGATATTGTTATAGCAACTGACAATTGACCCAGGTTTTGGTTGGAGTCTAGTGAGTTGTTCTGTTACCTTGGCAACAAAAGAAGACAGGGAGCCATAAGACAAGGAGAGTTAGTTATCTTGATTAATGCTGCTTGAATGAAAGATACTTTCTAAATATATATTATCATTATAATTTTACAATTGCTTTGTGTACCAGGCTATGGAGATGCATATTTAGAAAAAAATGAAAAGTCTGAGCAAATCTGAAAAAACTTACCCACCAACCTGAGCTGTGTTAAGAAGCATAAGACATTTTATCTTAGCCCTTAGGATGCAGAGACATTTCACCTGGCCTTTTTGATGCCACCTTACAGTAAACTCTTGGGTTGCAAAATGGGGGTGAGGCTTAGGAATGGGCAGAGACATCTCTTGTACATACTAAGGAAAAGAGCTTTAAAGGGTGGAACCAAATGTCTTTATAATCAAGTCAAAATGTGGTTCCTATATACACTGTGATTTGGGAGCTGTCTTTTATAAGGTCATTCATCTGAACATGATTTTAACATCCTTCAGCCTTGCTAGAGAAGATAACTAGTAAGGCTGCTTTTCAGGTTATCTTTAATTTCTGCACTTCTCCCCACCACCACCCTGTTATTATTATGAGTATATTGACTACAAGGCTCTGGTCATTATTTGAATTCAGTCACTGGTAGTTTTATTTCTGCTGCCTTATTTGGGGGGCATTGGGATTTCTTTGTATTTATGAATACATTGGCAGATGCTCTCCTAAGTGGGAGCTGCTGTGTAGGGTGGGCTCTAACCATCCTAGAACTCAGTCTGTGGCCACCATGCTCTGTAAACAAGTTTATCCTGGATGCGAGTGATCTCAGAGACCTGCCTACAGGAGAGGGTGAGCTTGGTGTTGAATCTGGCTAGGGTTTCACTCTCAATGTAACTAATAGATGGGCCTTAAAAGAGAGCTTCTCCAAGAGTCCCCTTCCATAGTTGCTGGCTATTTAAAGTTTGGCTTCCTGAGCACTTAGACCAGGGTCCCTTGCTTCTTAGAAAATCCTTGTGTTTACTTTGGATGCCTTCTCCTTTCAGATGAGCCCACGCTGTGCTCACCTGGCCCTCAAGCACTACCTCCTCAAGCCGGTTCAGCGGATCCCTCAGTACAAGCTGCTGCTGACAGGTGGGCTTCTCCAGCAGTTTACCAGGCACCTAGTGGTTTATCAACCAAACAACTGTTGTTGCCCTTATGAAACTCTGCCTTTCCTAAGAATGCCTCTCTTTTTATATCACTCCAGTAACCAATATATGCCAAGTATATGGATTTTTTTTTTTTTAAGAGACAGGGTCTCACTCTGTCACCCAGGCTGGAGTGCAGTGGTGTAATCATAGCTCCACTGCAGCCTCAAACTCCTGGGCTCAGGTGATGCTTCCATTTTAGCCTCCCAAGTAGCTAGAACTATAGGTACATGGCCAATATGTGGATTTATAGATTGCTTGTATACCTCACTTATACATTGCCTGAACGGAACTGCTTTCAGTTCTTTGATATCCCTGTGTGCATTCTTGCCTCTGGGTGTTCAAACCTGTACTTCCATTTGCTCAGAACATCTTTCATAAACCCAATCCCACATCCTTGCATTATTTTACCTGTTTAACTTTATTAATCCCTAGAAGGTATTTTTCCAACTACAGAATGGGGTTTAGAGGGTCACTCTCACATATTTGTATACCACTATCATGGCCCTGGTTACTTACCTCAGTAGTTTATTATAAGGATTGATCAATGAGCCAAACATGAACAGTGTTTAGAATAGTGTTTTAATCATAGTAAGTTCTAAATAAGTATTACCTGCTAGTCGTAGTAGTAGCAGTCAGTATTCTTACCCTTACCATTGTTACTATTTCGTTGTCATGATTATCATCTGTTTACATCTTTTACTAGACTGTAAACTTCAAGATAAAGTTTACCACTATTTTACCACTAATTTACCACTATTACAGTTTCAAAAAACTAATACAGTCTCGGTAACAAGCATAGTTATCCAGCATATACTACTAGGTCCTCTGGAATATTTGCTGAAATGTATTGGATGTGCAGTGACTTCATGTGCTTATAGATTGTGTATTAAAAATTTTGTTGAGGCCGGACGAGGTGGCTCACACCTGTAATCCTAGCTCTCTGGGAGGCCGAGGTGGGTGGATTGCTCGAGGTCAGGAGTTCGAAACCAGCCTGAGCAAGAGCGAGACCCCATCTCTACTATAAATAGAAAGAAATTAATTGGCCAACTAATATATATACAAAAAAAATTAGCCGGGCATGGTGGCGAATGCCTGTAATCCCAGCTACTTGGGAGGCTGAGGCAGGAGGATTGCTTGAGCCCAGGAGTTTGAGGTTGCTGTGAGCTAGGCTGACGCCACGGCAATCTAGCCTGGGCAACAAAGCGAGACTCTGTCTCAAAAAAAAAAAAAAAAAAAAATTGTTGAAATGGATGAAACATCGAAATGCCACCATTTTAAAGACAATGTGTTGTGATTATCTGTAAATAGATTTTGAGATACTCGGTTCCTGTAACTGCTCTTAAGAAATAGTGTGCATGCTTTTCTCCTTTACCTAATCCCTTTCTCCTAAGCCAAGAGTTATATTGGAGGCAGTAGGTGAATCCTGGAAAATCAGAATTTCCCCATTTCCCTTTAGGCAAAGGCTTCAGGCCTTCCCGGCTTGCCTAGTGAAAGGCAGATTGCTGAGGAGGAAGGCCCTCCTTTCAACCCCAGTACTGGGCCACTCTAGGTGTGTCAGGTACTTAATTTGAATTTCTTACTAGACTCAGACACTAGATTTGTCTCTGGAATGATGTGCAGCAAACCAAATAATTTGAGGATATCCTGTCCATCTGTACTTTTTTCCCTCTGCCTTTGGCAGAGATCTAGAATACACAGGACAAAAGGAAGTACTGATACACATGCTGTGTTTTTGCTAGATAAATTCAATGCTCTATCATAAACCAGCTTTGAATGGCTTAGGTTGTTTCCACAGCTGTCAAATGGAGTACTGTTCTTAGTGGCAAAAGACAACCATGGTCTCAAACGTGAGAAGAATGGAGCAAGAATCTGAAATTTTAATGTTAAAAAGAATTTTGATGTATTTATTTACATTTTTTATCCATTACTATGACTGATCTAAGTGGTAAAAAAGCTACACACATTTAATTTAGGTTTCATGCTGAGTTTGTTTTTTTTTTGAGAAAAGGTGAAATGACAAAAGCAAGTTTTAGAAATTCTCTTGAAGAAAGCAGATTCCATTTGTTTCATAATACCAGTGAGTTATTTTTAGTTTTGAGCTGCCTCTTGTTTAATCTTAAACCAGTTTCCCTTCTTTCTTAAACTGGAAATCTTTTTCATTATTTAAGGGACACACGTTATGTTTTGGCAGCCCTCAATAATTGTGGATTTTTTTAGTCTCACAATTGATAGGTAGTTTGTTCTGGGTCACAAAGTCAGGACTAAAATTAAACAAAGATGATAAGCTTTGTCTTTTTCATCCTGTGCCTTTTCATCCATTGATTCAAATTCTTCCCTTCCTCCAAGCCCGACCCAAAGGCCTCCATGCTCTTTGAAGCCATCTTTGATTGTTCCAGTTCTCCTTGACCCTTAGTATTAGTTGCCATGTGACTTAGCAAATATTAGTGTGATACCTTGTGAGATTGCTAATAGTTAATTTAAAATATGAGGTCAGGGAATATATCTTATAATTTGGGGCCCCTTAAAATATTTTTATTTTATTTTTTATTTTTCATAGAGACGGGCTCTCCCTCTTGTCCAGGCTGGTCTTGAACTCCTGAGCTCAAGCAGTCCTGCCTTGTCCTCCCAGAGTGCTAGGATTACAGGTGTGAGCCACTGCACCTGGCCTGCCTTCTAAAATATTTGGGTCAGTTTTAGATATCTTGAAGCTGTCCAGGAAATAATTTTGGTTGGTTTTAAGCTAGGTTTAAAACATACCATTAGCCAAAATGTTTTTGCTCCAAAGAACAACATATGAGACATAGAATTTTAGAGACCTAAGGTACATTGGAGATGAGGTCTTCTCCTTAAAAGGAAGACACATGCAGAAAGGTGAAATATCCTGTCCAAGGCTACACAAATAGTATTTTTTGTTTGTTTTTGAGACAGAGTCTTGCTCTGTTGCCTGGGCTAGAGTGCTGTGGCTTCAGCCTAGCTCACAGCAACCTCAAACTCCTGAGCTCAGGCGATCCTCCTGCCTCCCTCCTAAGTAGCAGGTGTAAGGCACCACGCCCGGCCCGCTAATAGTATTACTTGAAGCACCTATGGTTTTATAATCCTAAGGACATTTGGGGATCAAAACAAAGGGTTTGTTTTTATTTTTATTTAAAATTCTGGGCTGGGTGTGTTGGCTGATGCCTGTAATCCTAGCACTCAGGGAGGATCACCTCAGCCCAGGAGTTCAAGACCAGCCTGAGCAAGAGAGTGAGGCCCTGTCTCTACTAAACATAGTAAAAATTAGCTGGGTGTGGTGGTGCATGCCTGCAGTCCCAGCTACTCAAGAGGCTGAGTGAGGCAAGAGGATCTCCTGAGCCCAGGAGTTTGAGGTTGCTGTAAGCTAGGCTGATGCCACTACACTGTAGCCCAGGTGACAAAATGAGAATCTGTCTCAAAAAATAAATAAATAATAAAATAAAATAAAATAAAATTCTGATTTTCCAATACTCATTTTTATACTTGATCTTAGCCAAAAGGCCATGAAAGCAATAACAATACTCATTTTTGTGATGTTCTGATTGCTCCCTACTTTGCAAGATATTTCTACTGTCACTATCAAAAGTGCCCATGTCTATGCCCTTAGATTGTTTAAAGTTGCATTTTAAGTTTTAAGTTTACATCTTTTCAAACATGTTAATTAACTCGGTCCCCATCTTTGGCTAAACAATCTCAAATGATTTAATCTTTCCAACAACCTTATGAGGTAAGTACTTTTGTTTCCATTTTAGAATTTGGACTAATTCCAAATACATAGAATATACAGGAGCAGAGAGGAGTGATACTTTATTTGAGGCAACTCTTGAACAACTTTGATTTATTAATGAGTTTCAGGCAGAAAAGGAGAGGGATTCCTGCCTGACTCCTATAAGTAAATTTATGCTCACCTTGGTTCCTTAGGCTGGGAAGATTGAGAAATGCATAGATGATCAGATAAGATAGTTTCTTTTGGAATCCTTTTGGAGAAACTTAAGTGGAAATCCCCAGATACAGCAGTCCTGCCACTACTATTCAAACAACTGTCCTATTGTTTTGCAATGTTTTTTTCCCCTCACTTAATTTGGGTTTGTAGGGTATTCTACTTAAGCTCTCTCTTCCTTCATTGTAGTAAAAAACTTCTACCTTGGCTGGGTTACTTCAGACTTTATTATCATTTACATCACTAAAGTTTGTATACAACCCCCCATTGGTAATTTGGCTAAAACAAAACAAAACAAAGACAAAAAAAAAAAAAAACTTCCACCTCACTTCTTGGTAGTTTTTTTTTTAAGGTCAACTTAAAATAGGATCTAAGGCAGGTCTTGATGGCTCATGCTTATAATCCTAGCACTCTGGGAGGCTGAGGTGGGAGAGTTGCTTAAGCTCAGGAGTTGAGACCAGCCTGAACAAGAGGGAGACCCATCTCTACCCAAAATAGAAAAAATTAACTGGCAAAGTAGCACATACCTATAGTCCTGGCTACTTGGAAGGCTGAGACAGGAGGATCACTTGAGCCCAGAAGTTTGAGGTTGTTGTGAGCTATGACGATGCCATTGCCCTCTACCCAGGGCAACAGAATGGGTCTCTGTCTAAAACAGAAAAGAAAATCCAGGATCTAAGAGAATGCATACAGTTGTGTAATAAAGTGAGTTTTACTTAAATTAAGCCTAAAAACTTGTAAATTTTGCTTTTGTATTGGCCGCTCAAGGCCACTTTATCAGGCCAGAGCTTTAAATCTGTTTGGGGCTTAGATCCTATTTGAAGTTTTCCTCTACCTCTAGTTCTTGCTCTTTCATTTCCTGGTTATATTCCAGGCCAGCCCTTTCTAAACTCATGCCAAATTACAGCAGTATCTTCCTACTGATCATCCTAACACTTATCACTGCCCCATGTAGCCGAGCACAGTATTGCTTAATTTCTCTTCCAAGG